CTGCACAGCATCCTTGCGAAACGCTGGATTACCGCGATTCCCTGTTTACACTCTCAACTGGCGTTCCTAAAACGAGATGGATGCTTCGAGGGCGTCATATCAGTACATACCATCCTACGCGAGGCACGGCTCGCTACGCACAATCTGGCAATGTGCTCGATTGACATTTCAAAAGCGTTCGACTCGGTGTCTCACGACACAATCAAACAAATGGCCGAAGCTTATGGTGCGCCGAAGCCATTAGTATCATATATCTCGAATTGTTATAAATCTTCGAAAGCGATCGTACACGATAACTTAGTCAAAGTCGGGAGAGGAGTAAGGCAGGGAGATCCGCTCTCGCCACTTCTGTTCATTATGTGTATGGATGAAGTAACTCAATTGACAATACGCGAGCACGGGGCGAAGCTGGGCAGCCAGAGGGCTGACTCGGTTCTGTTCGCGGATGATATGATGATCTTCTCGCAGACCACTGTGGGAATGCAACACAAGCTTGACAGGCTATCCGTAGGATTGCAGCAAGCTGGCTTAAGTATTAACGTACAAAAATCGCGCAGCCTGACCGTCGCTGCGAATGGAAAATTGAAAAGCGTGTGTGTTGTCCCTCACACATATAAGATTGGCGGGGTATCCTTAGACCCCATAAACGTCACTGACAAATTTAAATATCTCGGAGTATGGTTCAATCACTCTGGTGTCACACGACAACCAATAAATACTATGACCGAGAGTCTCCTAAGTGAGATTACTGATGCGCCACTAACACCAGTCCAGCGGTTAACGATACTGAAACAATATGGTATACCAAAACTCCAATATGTATGCCAAGCTGGTGCAATTGGTAAAAGCGAATTACAAAAAGCTGATGTCTCAATCCGCAAACGTGTTCGTCAGTGGTTGGGGTTACCACACGACACAACTAATTGTTTCCTACATGCACGAGTGAGCGCTGGGGGAATTGGAATTGACCCCCTGTATCCGTTGGCCGTAATCAGACGGTCACAACGACTAAGACAGTTAAACGCCCGTAACTGTTCACTGTTGCAGGCCATCCGGCAGTCGGAGGCCTATAGATTACTTGAGTGCAAGTCTACTGGGATCATGACTCTAAACGGACAGGTAATTTCAAAGTCTGATCACTTCTATGAGGCGTTAAAAATGAGAATGTACGGCACCGTAGATGGCGGTGGCCTTAACGTCTCCGGTCGGAGCACATGTTCGCACTTATGGATTACGTCCCTGGAAGGGATGGTGCCTTGGATGTATCGTAAGGCCGTACAACTGAGAGGCCACACCCTGAAAACGAAGGTGAGAGCGTCACGGGGCGGAAGATCCTGCGGTGATCTTTGGTGTGACGGCGGATGCAGGAAAGCAGAGTCTTTGATGCATATCCTCCAGGAATGCAAACTCACCCAAAGACTGCGTATTGCTCGGCACAATCGAGTGATGCTGAAGCTGGGAGGTTCCCTGAGGCGGGCGGGCCTCTCAGTTATACGGGAGCCTTACATCTGTAAAGGTAAGGGTTACGTGAAACCCGACTTGTTGGTAAGTGGAAAAGGTAAGATTTATGTTTTAGATGTGATAATATGCAACGATAACAGATTGTCGGAATCGTGGAATTCAAAGATACGTAAGTATAATACTGACGAGTTAAATGGAAATTTCAGACAGGTGTGTAACCTTCAGAACGCATCGGTCCAACATCTACCGATAGCTATTACTATGCGTGGAATAATTGAAGGGCGGTCGGAAAAAGGCCTGAGTGAAATGGGATTGACCAAGAAGGCAATATCGTGGCTGTGCGAACAGACAATCATAGGATCATTGATAAGCTATGATGCCTATATGAATGACTCGTTAGCCCGAACAGTCAGGCGATAATGTAGTAGCAAATACCCAACCAGAGGCAGGACTGTATCCGCCCCACTGGTTCAAGATCTGGCAATCGTGGTACTCCGGATATCAAACGGAACCATGGAACTGCATCTATGCCCGTTTGTGTGCAGCTGGTAACAGATGTATGCTTATGGACCATACTTGTAGTCCTGCCTCTGGTTGGGTATTTGCTACTACATTATCGCCTGACTGTTCGGGCTAACGAGTCATTCATATAGGCATCATAGCTTATCAATGATCCTATGATTGTCTGTTCGCACAGCCACGATATTGCCTTCTTGGTCAATCCCATTTCACTCAGGCCTTTTTCCGACCGCCCTTCAATTATTCCACGCATAGTAATAGCTATCGGTAGATGTTGGACCGATGCGTTCTGAAGGTTACACACCTGTCTGAAATTTCCATTTAACTCGTCAGTATTATACTTACGTATCTTTGAATTCCACGATTCCGACAATCTGTTATCGTTGCATATTATCACATCTAAAACATAAATCTTACCTTTTCCACTTACCAACAAGTCGGGTTTCACGTAACCCTTACCTTTACAGATGTAAGGCTCCCGTATAACTGAGAGGCCCGCCCGCCTCAGGGAACCTTCCAGCTTCAGCATCACTCGATTGTGCCGAGCAA